ACACTTATAAGATTTCATATTTAAGAGTAAGCTCTGTAAGTGGCATTAAATAAATTTAAATAGTTTGGCCGTTATAGGCAAACAATGAAATTAGGCTTGCGGTACACTTTGCCCTTCCGCCATATGCCCAATTTTGGGATTTCTCTTGCCTTCTTCTGGAAATCAATAGTCACATCTCTTAAGTTCAAAACGAATTTTTGTTTCTTTAAATATCTTAATTTTTACCAGAGTTATGAAGAATTTAGTGTTTGAACATTTAACAAATTCAATTTTTCGACCTTCGCCGCCTCAAAATACTAAACAAATTTCAATCGTCCATACCGCGAGAACGGTGTATCCGATCAAAATTTCCCAAAAGATATAAAAATTAGCATTTTTTCTAAGCTTTCAATTGTCGTAAACTGCGTTTTAAAAATAATGATTTATTTGCGACATGCGCATGCGCAAAATTGAAAAATCGACAAAATCCAAAATTTAGGCACTTTCGAAAAACTGCTACATTTTGTTTTGCCTTTTTTCGAAAAGTTCACCTCAAAATACATAGAATCCATTTTGTTTCATCTAATTACAATTTAATGTAAGCTCAAAACCGGTAATTTAATTCGATTATACATGTTTCATTGTTATCAAAGTTATCATTACTCATTTCATTAACAGTAATTTCATTAACATTAAAACTTTTACAGTAAAAAGCAAAATGATTAAATTTTTTACACTTTTTGCATACCTGACCATAAGCCGGACACTTATAACGTTGATGATACGTACCGCACCTTCCACACTTATTCTTTTTAGTTTTCTGTTGTTCGTAACTGCCTGAAGCACCGAATTGCCTATTAGCAAGGTATCTCTGAGGTTAATTTCTATTTGGTAGCTTACTTCTATTATGTTGTTGTTGTTGTATGGGCTTGTTGGTGATTTCACACAATTCTGTATGTTCTATTCCACTTGATATTTCTTTTATATGTTGCTCTGTACGTTCAGCTGCTCTACACATTTCAATTGCTCGATTTAAGTCCAAATTTGGTTGTTCTCTGAGTAATTTATCTTTAATTCTTTGATCATGTACTCCACTTACAATTAGATCCTTTATCAATCTATCTTTCATATTTCCAAATTCACAGTTGGAAGCTATTTTTTTTAAATCTGCATAATAATTGTTGACATTTTCCCCTGGTAGTTGTCTTCTAGTATTAAACTTATGAGTTTCTACACTGGGGTTCAGCTTTGGTAAAAAATAATCATCAAGTTTAGTTATAATGACATCAGGGTCTTTTTTATTTTCTTGTGTTAAATCCAAATTTTCCAGTGTTTCTGCTGCTTCCTCTCCTAAGCAGTGTAATAGGACAGCAGCCCTGACTGGCTTCTCTTTCAGTGCACAACCAGTGGCTAAACTGTATATTTCGAAACTTGATTTGAACTTTTTCCAGTTTATTCCCAAATCTCCCTCCATTTTCATTGAGGTGGGTGGTTTTAAAAACTCCATTGTACTACACGTGTAGCTTAACCTTAAAAAACTGGAAATTCCAATTTTCTTGACATTTTTTTTATGTTTTCTTCAGAATCTTATTCGAATTAATTTGCAGGTTCTTTTTTATGACTGCGCCATGTTATGTTGTAAACAATTATAAATTATTAATAATGAACTTACATTTTAATAAGAACGTTTATTAGCTGGACTACAAAACATTTTGCCTTGAACCAAGAAAGAGGAAGAGCGTTGCCATTTGTCCGTCACATTGGCAAACATGCCAACCTCTACTAGTTAGGTAACTCACAATATACCTTTGCAATACATACCTCTACTAGCTAGGCAACTCACAACACGTGTTTATAAAGTTTTTTGCTTCTGAATAATTAGAATTTCAGCAGAAGTTTCCTTATTGCAGTTAGATCCGTATTTATAAACATAACTCGCTGAGTCGGACTTAGATAAGTCGTCCTTGAACTAAAATCGAAGTTTGGTTACAACGTCTCTAAAGGTGGTTGAGATGTTACACTGGCATTTAGAGATGTATATTAGCAAATCTGTAACTGTTAATAGTCCAATTAAATAACGAAAAAAAGCCCCTTCGAGCTTACATTAATTTGTAATTGGATGAAACAAAAAGGACCTTGTGTATTTTGATGTGATCTTTCCGAAAAAAAGAAAAAAAAGATGTAGCAGTTTTTCAATTTTTTTTAAATTAGGAAAAACCGGGTTTTCCGGAATTTTCCATTGTAAAAATGCTAATTATCTGGGCAAGTATCATTCCGATAGTGAAAATAAATGCACCATTCGAAAGAGGAGGCAAAAATAGTTCGGAAATTCATTGCACAGGTAGTTTTAATGGCGAATTTATCGCCTCCAGAAGTGCTTTTACCAAAAAGTCATTTTTTCGTTTTTTTGATCAGAACCATAGACATGAAATTTGCGATGAATTTGTGACGAAATTATAAATGTTAGACATATGTGCCCATGAGAGAAGTTGCGTATTTTTTTTTTGGCTCTCAAATAAAATAAGTCCCGCGGTGAAATCTGCCATAATTTTTCGGGAATTCGCAGGAAACCGGATGGCGTAGTTTTTTTTTAATCTTTTTCCCATATGATTTTTTCCGGGTTTTCCGAAAACATCTAACAAAAAAAAATATATTTGAAAAAACTAACTTCGCCATCGAAAAGAGCACAAAAAAATACACAAAAAAGTATACTTTAAAAATGATAGAAAATTAATCCTAAGCCTGAGTCTAAGTTCCAACTTGGTGATAAGCTTGCTTTTTGTTCTCTAATATCTGGTTTTTAGTTTTTTACAAGAAAACTTGAAATGGGAGAAGATATTATGCATGACAAAAATACGTATTTTCTAGTTACGTTTCGAACTTTTTGAAAAAAATTACAAAACAATTTTTTCTTAATTTCTCGTACTTTTTTTTTAATTAACTCGAAATCTAATTATCTGAATAAAAAACTGTTTCCATCAGATGATAGAGAAAAAAAAAGACACGAAAAACTGTGGCATATACATTTTTCCTAGCATCCACTGTTTTCTGAGCGCACGTGTGCAAAGATCGGTAATTCTCGCGAGAATTGAAGCTACTCGAATTTTCTGGCAATTGGGAGAGAAAGTAAGCTTGTTTCTCATTAAACTTACTGATTCTAATGTATTTTCAGTCTGTAAAGTGCCCAAATTACGGAAAAAATCGACAGTGTGCTTGTTTTTTCTCAAAAAAAAGGGAAAATGTTGGATTTAAGAAAAAACCACTCGTTTTACGAGCAATTTTCTAAGCACAAAAATGCGTAGTTTTCGGTTATATTTCGATTGTCATAGGTCGCGTTGCAAATCTGCAATAGCTCACCCTCTGCAAGTGTCTGATGACATAATAAACACAGGCCAGCCATTGCAACCTGGAAACAAAAAAATTATAGCACTGTGATAGAATTTTCTTAATTTAGGAACGTACTTACTCAATAAATTGCTGAGAAGTTTGAAAAGCCACGTGTACACAGCTTGCTAAACACGGTTATTAAAAATCTATGCCGATGAACACTATCAAGCGATTCAATTTGTAAAAATATGACCGTTTGAAGTTTAAACTTGTCAGATAGCGAACGCCGAGACCATTACTATCCTTGATGCGACGTGCGGCTAATTTGACGGTAATTCTATATTTTGCACAAAACTCAAGAAGCGTCTTATAACAAGTCAGTAAAATACAATTTAATAAATTTTAAGTAAGAAATTTAAAACTGGAAATCGCAAAAAATCAAATTACATTAATGTAGTGTATACACGAGTTTTGGATCTCGCGGAGCGTGTGTAATGGGACTTTTGTCGGGAGAATTCTACAACTTAGAAGAAACATACACACTTTAAACTTTGTATACACATTTAGAATACATGAAATTTGGGTTTGCTTAATTTTCAGACCAAAAAAATAAAAATTGTCAATTTAAGGCAACTTTTCTCAAAAACCGTGTTTTTTGGTCGTCACTCAATGAACAGTGGTCAAAAAAATAGATAAAATATATTTGCAGAATTTTCCGTAATGTAATCGTATTCTAGACACAATAGAGTACTCAAAAAAAAAAAATTTTGAGCCATTGGGTGCATTTTTGGCATTTTTGTGCCTTTTCAAACTTTCGAAAAAAAAATTATTTTTTTAAGGAAAAAAATTTATTTAATTGTTTGATATCTTAGCCAATTACGATCCGATGTCGGTGAAATTTACACACACATAATATTTCACATTTAAGAGTAAGCTTTATAAGTGGTATTAAAAAAATTCAAATAGTTTAGCCATTATAGGCAAACAATGAAATTAGGACCGCGGTACACTTTGCCCTTCCGCCATATGCCTAATTTTGGGATTTCTTTTGTTCTCTTCTGGGAATTACTAGTCACATCCCTTAAGTTCAAAACGCATTTTTGTTTTTTTAAATATCTTAATTTTTATCAATGTTATGAAGAATTTAGTGTTTGAACATTTAACAAATTCAATTTTTCGACCTTCGTCGCCTCAAAATACTAAACAAATTTCAATCGTCCATACCGCGAGAACGGTGCATCGGATCAAAATTTCTCAAGAGACATAAAAATTGGCATTTTTCCTAAGCTTTCAAATATCGTAAACTGCGTTATAAAAATATTGATTTATTTCCGACATGCGCCTGCGCAAAATTGAAAAATTGACAAAATCCAAAATTTCGGCACTTTCGAAAAACTGCTACATTTTGTTTTGACTTTTTTTCGAAAAGATCACCTCAAAATATATAGAATCCATTTTGTTTAATCTAATTACAATTTAATGTTTGCTCAAAACCCGTAATTTATATCGATTATAAGTACATTTACGGATTTGTAAATTCACGCGATATAACCGAACTTCGATTTTCGTTCAAGGACGACTCACCCAAGTCCGACTCGGATAATTTTATATGGCTCAGCTGAGTTCTGTTTATAAATACGGACCTTAGCGATTCAACTATATTGTAATATATTGGTATTTAATCTTTGTTTTAGGTTCAAACCTTGGTCTTTTACAAGTGAAGCTTGCATTGACAACCATTATTAAGGATTTCCAGATTACCTTAAACCCAAAAACTAAATTACCGATTAGATATTCACCGATGTCTTTCTCGACGTGGTTAGAAGGAGGAGTATGGCTAGATGTCTCAAAAATAAATAAAATTTAAATAAGAAAATCATGTTTTTTTCAATTATAAATTTGTACAGTTTAACTTTTTTTATAAATAGCAATATACAAAAATTGTTTCTAAAGTAGGCAAT